CCCCACTGCCCACATCCCTCCTGGTCGAAAATGACCTGTCCACCACCGCTCTCTGGGTGCAGCCCTCCAGCCAGTTGACGACACATCTGACTGTGTGGGCGTCGACACCACAGCCCCCAGTTTCTTAATGAGAACGGGGTGAGAAACAGTGTTGAAGGCCTTCCTAAAGTCCAGAAAGACTATGTCCACTGCGACACCTGCATCCAAGGATTTGGTGACCTGGTCATAGAAGGCCACCAGGTTGGTCTGACAGGACCTGCTGCTAATGAACCCGTGTTGGTTGCCCCTAAGCATTGTCTTCCCTGCTAGTCCCTCATAGACATACGCAAGGATAATTTTCTCAAAAAGCTTCCCCAGGACCAAGGTAAGACTAACTGGCCTATAGTTTCCCAGGTCCTCCTTCCTCCCTTTTTTGAAACTGGGAACCACATTGGCCCTTTTCCAGTCCTCCAGCACCACACCAGAGCAGCACACGTACTCGTACAGCCATGCCAGGGGTCCCGCAATGACCGCAGCCAATTCCCTCAGCACTCGGGGGTGGAGATCGTCACGACCAGCTGATTTGAACCTGTCCAGTCCTTCCAGAAGTTCCTTGACTAGGTCCTCACTGACCCTGGGCGCGCCTCCCCTGGGTCCATCAGGGATCCCAGTGGGGGGGAGACCTGGTGCCTGCTCAGAAAAATGGAGGCAAAGAAATTGTTAAATAGGTTAGCTTTGCTGTCTTGTGTGACAACCAGGTTTCCTGGCGTGTCCTGCAGAGGTCCCACATTACCCAGTACCTTCTTTTTTACCCCCTATGCATTTAAAGAAGGACTTCTTGTTGTCCTTGATCTGGGTCACTAGTCCGTGTCCCATCTCCGCCTTGGCACCCCCCTGTAGCCCCAAGCAACTGAGGTGTAGTCCCCCCTGGTGATGGCCCTTCCCTTCCAATGGGTGTGCACCTCCTTTTTAGCTAGGAGACATTCCCAGATGCTTTTGGTGAGCCATGGGGGCCTTTGCGCCCTCCTGCCCACTTTGATCTGTGTAGGGATTGCCACTTTTTGGGCTTGGAGGATCGTCTCCTTAAAGAACGACCACTTTTTTGACACCCAACTCCCCCCTGCCCCAGGACCTCAGTCTCTCCCCAACTATTCTCCTTAGCTCATTTGAAGTCCGGCTTCCTGAAATCTAAGGCTGCTGCCTTGCTGCAGGCCTTTGCCACCTTGCGCTGGATGGTGAATTCCAGCAGGCGATGATCGCTGTCGCCCAGGTGGTCGAGCACCCGCAGCCCCCTCACCAGGTCGTCACCCATGCCCTAGACCAGGTCCAACAAGGTGTCTCCCCTGGTGGGGCTGTGCACCTCCTGGGTTAGATGGAGGTCCTGTATCTCAGCTAGGAACCTACATGAGCGGTCAGACCTGGCTGACTGCTCCTCCCAGCAGATGTCACCCATGATGACCACGTCCTTTGACCTAAGTACCTCCGTGAGCTGACTTAAGAATTCCTGGTCTAGCTCTTCCCCTTGGTTGGGTGGTCTGTAGCAGACCCCCACCGTTAAGTCTCTTTCTCCCCAGCCTCCTTGTGTTCTAACCACAGCACTTCTTGTTGCCTGTTCCTTGCTATGTGGCTTCCTCCTTGTTTTGTGAGCATGAAATTTGGACTAACCTTACTGACCAGAGCAGGTGTAAAAGCGGGGTTGCAGCTGAGCAAGCATTCCCCAGCCCAAGTGTATGCAACCCCAATTCGTTATTCTCAACACCACCTCTTGACCTAGCCCTGGATGCTGCCTGTGCAAGTATGTCAACGAGCTGGGCAGTTGTTGAAGATTTGGAGTGAGAAATTGCCCTGCCTTTTCTCTTCTGTCCACAGCTGACTTTTGAGACCTTCTGCAGAAGTGAGACTAGCGCACATCCATTCTGTTGTCACTACCCCCTCCTTTCCTCTGTACACCATCATAGCTGAGCCCCATTAAAAGTCCCAGGTGCCAGACTGTATTGCCTCACCTTTCTTTGCCTTTGCGGATGCTTTCAAAGATCATGGTGATCCTTAAAATAAATTCAGCAAGTTAAAGGAGTGGATGGGGCAGGATAGCCAAGCTGCTCCCCGTGTGATCCTAGCCTCAGTTCTGACGTCTGGAGTTCCTTATGTTTTTGCAGGGAATGTCTAATGTGGTAGGAGGTAAAAGGCTTTTGATCTGTCCAATTTGGTAGAGAGGTGCTTCTCTCTGGGCCTGAATCTGTCTTGTCTGGCTGCTTCTGGATTGTGATCCTCCAAACCAAAGGGTTCAGTGGTCAATAATATTGTCTTGTAACTGCCTTCCCTAGCAGCCTACAAAAAACTGATCAGGTAGCCTGCCCAGGAAGCTGGATAGGGCTGAGGAATTACCTGCCTATCTGGACCTCTCCATTGTCAGTTTTGCTCTGGAGCTCCGCCAGTTGTCCAGTGCTATAGGAAGATGCTGTCCCTTAAATTCTGTATAAACTCATTCTGGCTACTCCATTCTTGAGCGAGGCAGACTGTCCTTGTATAAGTCAGAAGGCCTAATGAGAAGTAATGGCTGCAGGCTAAAACCAGACACGTTGAAATAAGAAACAGGGCAATTTAATCATGAAGACAGGCTTCTGGGGACTGTAGTGTATTTTCCATCTCTGGAGACTTTTGCATGGCAGCTGGATGCCTTTCAGATAGTTCTGCTGTAGTTAAACACAAGTTTTTGGCATCAGTACAAGATTAACTGGCAGAAATGCATTAGCCTGTGATGCACAGGAAGTCATACTAGATGGTCTGATGGCATTTTTGGCCCCAAATTCTCCAAATCTGTGAAAGCAGAATAAAAATTTCCTAGACTGTCTGTGTCTAGCAGAATAGGCTGAGGAGCCTCCTGTGAAATCCCCAGTGCAAGAATGAGTGCAAGAGTCCTCTCTCATTTTTCCTCCTCTGCTCCCTGCAGGTGGAGTACTACAACCATCACACAGCCACGTGGCATCCCGTCACCAGCATGCTCAACAAACGCTGTCGGCATGGAGCTGCCTCCCTGGGCAGCAAGATGTTTGTGTGCGGGGGCTATGACGGCTCCGGCTTCCTCAGCATTGCTGAAGTGTACAGCTCCATGGCAGATCAGTGGTACCTGATTGTCCCTATGAACACCCGGCGGAGCCGTGTCTCCCTGGTAGCAAACTGTGGCCGCCTTTACGCTGTGGGTGGCTACGACGGACAGTCCAACCTCAATTCGGTAGAAATGTACGACCCAGAAACTAATTGCTGGACGTTCATGGCCCCCATGGTATGTCACGAAGGAGGGGTTGGTGTGGGGTGCATACCACTCCTGACCATCTGAAGAAGGAAGCACAAGGCAGCCGTTTTCAAGTGACAATCTTGGGAGAGACCCAACAAGGGTTTAATAATGTGATATTGAGAGGTACATTTCGAGGTGCTCGTGTCATTCATGAACACACACAAACTGTCCTAAAACCACCCTGTAACTTGCGTGCTGAGGTTCCAGATAGACGAATAATTTGCCATTCAGATTGCGTGCGCGGATGTGAGCGAGACTTGCCCACCTCTCTCCTGGACTGGGTGTCGAATGTATCCCGTGGCTGGCGCAGTCTTCCTCTTGCCAACCATTGCTTTGGGTACAGCATTGAGCCAGGCAGGGTCCACCACAGGAGGTGCTTTTGAGAATCACCACTGGAGTCTCTATGCTGTGGTTCGACTCTGCGTAAATCTGTGTTGGGATCAACTGGGAGGGAGTGTATAAGCAGTATGTTCAGGGCAAACAACCCAAAAGTCAAGATCTAGTTTATCATTAACAAATAACTGGGGTATTGCAAACAGGCTGGTTCTCTATCTTGTTACCAGGCATGCTAGATCTTGCTCAATATTACAAGCAGAAGGGACTCTGTCACCAATGTTGGTTCTTAGAAGTCTGTGGTTGGGCAAATGCGTGGAAATGGGTAGCCCCTTTGCATCTGAGGTGCTGTCCTTATGACCAGCATTTTGCTAACTCCTTTGAATGTAACTTATTTTGTTCTACTTGATCAGGAAAAATGGCTCAAACCATTTTAAGGAGGGGCAGGGGATGAGATGTCCCTCCTTCCTCCCCTCCCAATCTTTCCAAAAAACTAGGTTACAATAGGTGTTATGGGGTGGGGGAGGGGAGGAATATAAATAACACCAGCAGTAAACTTAGATTTAAGTAAGAAAATGGCCAAAATGTTAATAATAAAGGTGTCTCTTTCAAAATAAAATCTCTATTTTAGTTTTGCAAAAGTTAGGCAAGGTGCATACAAGAAACAGCTGGATCACAGGGTGATCAAGGTCGGTTCTTCTGATCTTTCAAGCAGAGGTGAAAACCCAGAGCCTCGCCTTGGCTTTCCTTTGGAAATTCCCTGCTGTGCATTCAGCTGTTTTTGATTTCACAAAAATGTCCTGTGGGTTTTGAAATACAGAGTTGGCCCCACTGCGTTGTGATCTGCTGTGTTTCTTGTCTCTGTCCAGGAAAGGCCGGCTATACTCATTTGCTTCAGACAGCTCAGATACAGACTTGACCTTTATGGAGAAATACAGTGTAGGGACAGACAGCAAAAGTTTGCATAACAGACGTAATGTGAGTGAGTGGAAAGTCCCGTGTATGTAAACACTCACTACAACCTAAGCTTTTAGTCTGTCAAGCATTTTGCATTTTCAGTTTGATAAGTGGGAAAGATCTTTACAGCATGGCCAGGTGATATGGCATTAATTGGCTAGCAAAAGTTTTCTGTTTCTGGCAGGGAACAAGCAGTCAGCCTGGAAATCTTTATCCATGTGTTCTCCTGTCACAGTCTGCTGGCAGAAGAATAGGTGCTATCTCTACCCCTTCCTCCCTGACTCTCTCATGATCTCCTTGTCCGTTGTTTTTAATGGTTGCACATGAAAGGACAAGCGGGTTCGTGTCCCGCAGCTGCTCCACTTGTGGCACGTACCACCTGACAAATACTTTGGAGTCCTTGGGCCTGCACCTTTGCCCTGGAGACTTGAACAAGAGGCATTGTAAGGGGATGGTGTCTTACAGGCCTGGAACGTAGATACCTGGGTCTGAGTTGCTCTTCCCATGTTGCTGCCTGGTAGCTGTTCCAGTCACCCAGATGCTGTTGTGCAGCCTTGATGAAGAAGTGTGTCACCCTGGCCATTTCCTTCAACAGCAGATCCATGCTGCAGCGATTCATTCAGAGCACATCTCTGTGGTTGGCGCATTGTTGGGTTAAAATATACATCACTTGCAAGATTCGCTGAGCAGGCTCTGTGGCTTTCCACTGGCTGAGGCGCTTCTGGGAGGAAAAGCACTATCTGAAACCTTCTCTTTTTGCTTGATCAAAAATCAGCAGCATTCTCAATATCCAGGTAGGCTTTCTGACTCCCTCAGTCAGCCCTTTGGTGCAGCCAGCAGTAACGGCATCATCGAAGAATTCATTCGGCACAAGACCTAAAGTCGAAATGCCTAGGCCAACAGGACAGGGTGTGGACAACATGGCCAGGACAGACTCCTTCATCCTCGGAGATGATATTTAAATATATCCAACTTGAAGTAAACATGCGTTAGCTCACTCTTGTTTCTCTCACATGCAGAGCTCTCTGCCCAGCGCACATCCTCCTGGGGGAGTCCTCAGTAAACCCCCAAGTCGCAGCTTCCACCGTTGCGCTGTGTGAGGATGCTGAGATCGCGGCAAGCTCCCACAGGCAGAACAGCTGGGCAGGAAAGGAAAGGCCCTTCTACTCGAACACTAATCTCTTTCATCAACAGAGGGGGCTGAGAAAACAGCTCAGTTTGCTGCCTTTTGTGTGAACTTTTGAAAGTGCTAAAGCTTGTTTATGGGGGTTTGGGTCCGGGAGGCTCTGCGCACAGCCCACCTCTGAGCCAGCCCAAGCCAAGGGTGCTCCCCACCTCTTTATAGGGGAGTCTGAATGTTCTTGCTTTCGAAAACCCCCAGTGCAGTTGAGGTTTCTAACTTTGGGTATATACATGTTGTCTATATATTCTGGTACTGATGTGTTTTAGGTGTCGTATGAGCATATCTGGTGTAAATGTGGCTTGTCCTGGTATATCTCTTTTTTTTTTCTTTTTCCCCATCTATATATCAACCAGTGGGTCATGCATGAGGGTAAATTAATTTGGCATTTCCCTGCTGCTAAGACTTGATTCCAACCTTTTCTGAAGGAGGCCAAAGCTTGTTTCCAGGGCACGAACTGCAGGGTGCTAAAGAAATCAAATGGTTTGCAGCACACTGCAAGCTTATAACTAGTACATCTTGGAGACAGGATGGGATTTTATTTTCTTTTCCATGGTAAGGCTTATGGCAAGGGAAGGAACTAGCAGCATTTTTCCAGTGCTAGTCCTCTTTCCAAGCTGTTTTGGTTGGGCACTACAAAGGGAGATTTTTAAGGGGCACACGTTCCTTTGCTTCCCTCTCCCCCCATCGCTGCTTTTAAAGGAGCGTGGGATTGACACGACTTCCGGCAGTCGTGCAAGAATCACATCATTGATGTGAGGGGCTGCACTCTCGAACATGGGGGTCTCTTGTCTTCTGTCCATGTAGCAATCCCTTATCTGAGCTCCCCCCACCGCTGCAGTGCTGTACTTGCATTATTGTATATCCAGAGATTTTACCACCCTGCTAAAATTGCACTGAGGGCGTGGATGAGTAGATTTTTTACTAGGCTGCACTTAGTTATTACACAAGCCGGCTCAGCCTCCAAGGTGTTACTGCCTCTTGCCTGGCGGTAGAGGGTAACTGTAGAGCTGCAGTGGGCTGCCTTCAAATTGAGGGCAGTTTTATTTGGAATGCTTCTGCCTTGGCAGCCGTGAGTTGAATGCACTGATCAGGAGAGTCATGGTGGTATTGGAAAGGCCCCTGGCATTTGGCCCTTCACACACCAGGGTAGGACAGCTCTTATTTCCCAGGAGGTGCCCATCAACAGGCCTCCTCTGAGTTGATACTGGTTCCTTCAACAGCCTTTGGTATGGTTTTAAGCATTCGGCTTTTTCCTGGTAACTTTGGCACACGGGGCCTGTTTACAGAGAACAAGGCTTCTACCCGTGTTCGCAACAGGTCTGGGGGTGAGCAGACCCCAGAGGGCTCCACGTATTATACTGTTTTAGCAGCGTCTAAACCGACACAGACATGTAAGAGAGTACCCCTCTCTACAGATACCATTTAGGTATGCTTGGAGGTCCCGCTTTGCTTCTTTTGGACCAGTTTAACCAACTAGCCATAACCAGAAATCAGTTTGGGGAGGAAAGAGAGGGAATTAAGGTTGTCAGCGGATGTCTGTTCCCTCTGGGCTTCCTGGTATCAGGCCTGTTTTGTATTCCCACCTCCTTGGGACACCGTACAGCCAGCTAAGCAAGTGGTTTTTAAATGTCCTGGCACCAGCCTTCTCTTTGGCATCAGTGCTGCCCAACAGCCTCTTTCAAGTCGCGTGTAAAACTTTTTAGTGATCAGTATTTATCCGTTTGTGCTAGGGGCTGTACAAAGGCATAGTAGCAGACAGTCCTTGCTGCAGGAAGCTTGCAGCCTAAATAGACACGGTTGCTGCCAATGAAAAAAGACACAAGGGCTGTGTCCAGATGACTGCAGGCATGTCTGCAGTGCTACGTACCACACATTCAGCTGTTTTCCATGCTGTAAGGGAGCAGTGTGGAGGGGTTGACCCCTGGATATCCAGGGGTCCAAAATACCCATGCAGAAAAAGAGTGGAGCATGCAGAAGCAGCATGTGCCACTCAGAATGAGCCTGGCTCGCAGGAGCTATGCTCCAGCTGCCAGCCAGGCTCTGAGCGGCAGGATCATGACTGCTGCAGTCCCAGGAGGATCCCAGGTAAGGATCAGCCCAGTGCTGGCCCCAGCCTCGCCTACCTCGCCCAGGATAACCTGCCACATGCCAGGCACTGCTGGTCCCTGGGGACAACTAGCAGCGGCACAAGGTGTCCTGCTGCTAATTGTCCCTTGGGAACCAAACGTCCGGCTCGTGGACATGGCCAAGGAGGCTGGAGAGAGGGAGCATCTTGTCCAAGCTCATACTGCAAGTCAGCGACAGCCCAGGTCTCCCAACTCCCAGCCTAGTGCTCTGTGCACCTTGATGTGCATCTTCCATTTCGGCTCACTTTTTTATATGGGGGTTGGAGAGGATAAACCTCTGCTGAGATTCCCATGGACCAACAGCGTTGGTGATGCATCCTGTTAAAGCAAAGTTGTTGACAAGCCATTCTTGGGTGCTTCTAAACCTGCCACATGTCTGCCCCTAACACTTCAAGGTATGCTGTGCCTCTGGGTTCCTGTCTCTGCTAACATCTGCTACTGCAAGGGAAATGTGCGACTCTGAACACACGCATGAAGAATAGATTGCTGGTGACTGTTCTCTTCCTAAGATTTTGCCTATAGTCACCTGTAGTTTGTGTACTACAGATTGTCTGTACAAAACTCTGCATTTTATCCATTTGACAGAAGTTGAATGCTTAAGCTTTTGGTCCCAGAAGTTTTACTGGAGATTCTTGAGACACCCAAAAAGCTCAACCACGAGACTCAAATACTTACAGCTGCCCCTCTAGTAGCCTGTGGAAAATGAGCACTACCAGGAGTTCCCATCCCATCAGCCTGCCTCTTGGGTGGTCATCTGGCCATGCTGAGAACGGGATGCTACGATTTGTCTCGATAGAGACCTACAGTCTACTTTTGGGTTTGAGACATTCCCCCCCACCCAATCCCCTTTGGTAGGGTGAAAAGTCAGTCTTCCCTCTCATCCTTAAAATAAGCCTTCCTCTCCCCACCACTTTTATAGACTCTTCCTCTTAAAGTTGGTGCTGATCAAGGCCCACAGGTGCCAAGCAGCCACTTGGGACTCAAAGCTGAGCCCTTCTTTCCTCCGCTTCATCTGCAGATTTTGCGCTTCCCAATAGTCCCCGCCGGGTGGAAATACTGGCTGGAGAGTGAGCGGAGGGGACTGGACTGCAAACTTCCTTATGGTTAGGACTGCACTGGTCCTAACCAAAGCGGAGATCATGCAGCTTTTGCGTGTGGTGTTATTCCTCTCTTCTGTCTGTGCAGGGATGGTTAGGTCATTAAGCAAGAAGCCTTCAGGGGATGTGAGATGACAAGGTTTGCTGCTACAGGTGGTGGTCATGGAGTTTCTTAAACAGACTGAAACAAGTCAGGTTTCTTGATGAATTAGTGCCAGAAGTTTTCCTTGGCAGCTGGCAACTTATTCTTACATCCAGTCCCCCTTCCCTGGCCAAGGATCTCTCTTCTCCAATGCACTTCCCCCCCAGCAAGTGTTAGACTAGAACAATTTAAGAGTGATTTGATTGATTGATTTCTTTTTTTAAACAAAATAATTCTGAAAGGATTTGGCTCCAGAGCTTGGAGAGTGCAAAAAATACTTGTATGAACAGGTGTTTGCTCAGGCATCTCAAATAGCCGTGACCTGGATTTGGTAACGAAAAGCCTCGTGCTTCGATTTTTAAAGGGATGCTGCTGACGGTGACTATGCTAAAACTTGTGCTTCCTGCCTTTTATCAGTTCAAGGCCTCGCGTCAATCCTCAGTAGATGATCATAGACATGGGAGTTAACGTGTAGAGTAAAGCATTCTTCTAGGAACTGCTCAAAAACTGGGGCTGTCACAAAATCCTAGACAATGAGGGTGGAAAGGGACCTCAGGAGGTCGCATCTAGTGCTCCAAGCAGGACCAGGCCCAACTACATCATCCCAGCCAAGGCTTTGTCTACCTGGGCCTTAAAAACCTCCAAGGGTGGAGATCCCACCACCTTTCCAGGTAACCCATTTCAGTGCTTCACCACCCTCCTTGTGAGAGTTTATCCTAATATCCAACCTCAACTTCCCCTGCTGCAGCTTGAGCCCATTGCTCCTTGTCCTGTCATCTGCCCCCACTGAGACCAGTCCAGCTCCATCCTCTTTGCAGCCCCCCTGCAGGGAGGTGAAGGCTGCTATTCAATCCCCCTCAGTCTTCTCTTCTGCAGGCTAAATCAGCCCAGTTCCCTCAGCCTCTCCTCACCAGTCCTGTCCCCCAGCCCCACAACCATTTTAATTGCCCTCCTCTGGATTCTCTCCAATTTCTCCACAATTTGTCAGTTCTATCCCAAACTCTGTCAGCACCCCTGTTTAACATGCAAATTTAAAAAAAATGAGTTTGTTCATAGTTCTAGCCTAAATCAGCATCACAGCACTGCAGTCAGTGAAGCAACGTCCATTTACATCCACGGAGAAACCAGTCCCGGTCGTGTCTGAGGTTCTCCCATGCGCACTGACAACGGACGTGGATGTTGTGATGGGGACGACCCATGGAAAGCTTGGAGGAGCTGGTACAAGAAGATGCGAGAACACCACTCCAAATGCGATGAGGAAGTTGCTGGCCTTTAGCTGGCATGGGAGAGTGCACATGATGTAGTAACCTCTGACTGGTATATTATTAACAGAAAATTAATGATTATTAACAGAAAACTAATGGCTAGCTCATTGCCAAGACTGGTCTAATCAACATTTCAAAGAGATCAAAGACCCAGAGGGAGCCTGCCTGGGATGGTCAGCATGATGGGCTACAGACTGAAGACTCAAAATCAGCCCCAAAGTTTGGAGGGGTGGATGGATATTACCAGTGTAAAATTTATTGGGGGCACTCGCATCCTTTTGAGATGCCTTCCAGTGCCTGGTGCCTCGGCACAGTCTCATTCAACATGTGTCTCACCATAGTGTTGCCTCTCCAAGCAACGTGCAGGCGGCCAAGGTGGGGAATGTCCTATTTTTGTGTCCTCTTGATGAACCTGTAGCTCAATGCACGACGTAATCCAGTTTACATTCAACTGTGTAACATCCTGGTTTTAAAACTCCCATTGCTTCCTTCACTGCAAAATATGATGTGTTCTTTAACAGAAGGACTGTTATGTTGCTGGAAAGAACATAGCCCTATTTTTTACTGACCTGATTTCATGAGAGCGTGTGGGTGACTTCTCCACTGTTGTCTGGTATTTTCAACAATAACCAGTTTTGGAAGGAATCCATTATTTTTTTCCCCTTTTTTTTAATTTAATTAATCCAAAATCTGTCCTGGTTGGTTATCCTCACAGCTGAAAAGCCTCAAGATTCATTATTCATTCATCCAAGCTAGTCAGTGCTGAGGTCCAGGTCTCAGAAGTTGGTTAATGCTCAACTGTAATCGCGTCCGAGGAGTTGGAACATCTGTTAATGAGACTTTTTGTGCGTGTGTCAAGTTTTGCCAACTCCTCAATTTGCCATGAGATGGGTCAGTCATACGCCACCTTTCTTCTGGCCTTCCCAGTTCTTCCCAGCCTTGTCTTGCTGGGTTCATCCATGGTACTGGGCATCACATCTGTCCGTCTGTCTATCCATCTATCTATCCATCTGTCTATCGTGTGTTCTTATTAGGCTTTCTTATAAAACTGTTAAAATAATGGGGCAGAGGGCTCAGAGGGGATTTGGTCCTGCTTAACAGCACTTTTTTATGCCTGAGCCGTACTGGGCACTGCAGGAGATGGGGTGCCAGGCTCAGCTGGCCATTTTGGTCCAGCTGGGTATGAGATCTTGCCCTCTTGTCTCTCTTGCGATGAATGGAGTCGTCTCTGTTTTCCAGCTGTAGCTTTCTACAGGAATGAGCACGCGGTGAGGAGTTGCAGCTCTTCCTTTGATACTGAAATACCAGCACGTGGCATGTGTTCAGTGCCCGTGTCACTCTGGGTGAGGAGTGCTTGCAACACGGGCACGTGACATGCCGTTACTTATGCAGTAGGTCAAAATGGGCTCCCTTCTCCTGAAGGAGAAATGAAGTCTGATGCTTCTTCCTCCTTCAAGGTCTGAACAATGTCCACAACAAAAAGTCCTCCCCTCCGTGGGACATTGGCAGGTCCCAATATTGCTGGCACCTACTTGTGGAGAAAGTCAGACCTTCAGTGCAGCCCCAAGCATGGGTGACTTGGTCCTAATCTGGCGTGCGTTGCATTACCACTGGCCATTTCTCTTCTTTCCCTGCAGACCCGTAGGGGTCTTGGTAGGTTATTATTCCAGCTGTGACCATGACCCAGCCTTATCTGGTTCCAAACCCTGCAGACCAGCTAAAGAGGAGGAGGGAAGCTTGCCCTTCATTTCCACCTGCTTGATCACAGCTCAGCTATCCCCTTGTCCTTCAAGATCCTATCTGATAAAGCCATAGTGGAAAGGCAGCTGACTTGAGGAAGCTTCCTGCAGTATGTATGCTCCCTGCCCTCTAAAAAAGCTCTTTCTTGTGTGTGAATTTGCTGGCCAGTGTTTGGGAACCAAAGAGAAGTGCAAACCATTGCTGCTTTCTCTTTCCTTTAAGCAGAACTCAGTCGCCTGTATTGGTGCATGCTCCAGGCATGAGCCTAGCACTGCTCAATGCACCCATTTCTTTTGAATGCTTTCCTCTGCGAGGAATACGGCAAAGCTGCCTGGCCTGTGCGGAGAGCTAAGGATGTGCGTGCTGTGAGGGAGCAGCTGCATCTTGCAGACCTGCATGGTAAAAGCCCCGTATATTCAAGCCCCTTTTTCTTCTGGGGACTTCAGTTTGAAATGCCTCGAGCCTGAATTTCCACAGGTGCCAAGCACTCAAGCTCCCATTGTGATCTGCAGCAGCAGTCAGTCTTTGGCACCTCTGAAAAGCTGGCCCTAGGCAGGGTGTCTCAGTCTCCTGGAAGCCGGGGCTGCTTTAGGAGCTTGAGACTGAAGCCCAGCAACTGGCTGGGGGAGAGGCTTGGGGCAGGACACCTGCTTTGGAAGGTAGGCTTTGGGAGCACGGGTGCTTCTCTGGCCCGAAGGACGGGAAGCTGTATGGACATTGCACACGAGCTCTCCTGTGCAATACAACACGAGTACAGGGTGGGAGGGCTGCTGTTTCTACCAAGCATTTTGTATGGTGTCAAATCAGTGCCTTCCTTCGAGCTTTACATCCAAGGTGTCACTATATCAGTCCGTCCCTGAGCTCCCCATCTTCTCCCCCACCCAAGCTTATGTGACGGAGTGACTAATGGCTTTCCCAAGGCAGCTGCTTTGAGTACGACTTGCAGCTTCAGCTACAGGGTTTGGCGTGATGCTCGAGACTCGCAGGCATGTCTCCGATGCTCCTAACTTTGGCAAAGATCCCCAGTGGGGTGACAGTGGAGGGAAAGGGCTTTGGGTTTGGCTCCTGCAGCTCTCTTTGGAGGCCCCAGTTGTGGAGAAAGACAAACCTTCAGTGCAGCCCCAATCACGGGCGACTTGCCTGTCAAGTTGCCGTTGCATTGAGAAGCGGTGCCGTTCTGGAGAGCTCCCCCGGCACCAGCAGTAGCGGTGCCCTTCAGCCTGGCGCCCAGTGCTTTCACCCCCATCAGGACAGGTCGATGCTAGGGAGCAAGCTGTGGGTACCCCGGCTAATGGGTCCCCTCCTTGGCAGAAAGGTGTGGGTGGGTGTGTTTGTGTGTGCACTGTCTGCAGGGTGGGATCTTTTTTGCACTCCCAACCACCGTAGCTGTGCTAGTAAAGTGCTGTAGTGCAGACAAGCCCATGTCTGCAGGAAGAGCACACCCCTCTGGGAAAAGCTTCAGATGCAGCTGGTCTGCACCAACAGCTGAAGGGTGCCGACGGGAGGCATTTGTGTTGCAGGGTATCCGCGCTGTCTGGTACACCTCCCTGCTTGTCTCTGCCAGCTGGGCCAAAACATGACCCAGTGGCTACAGCCCTGAGCTTTAAGCAGCTTTCTCACTTGTTTTAAGTTCTTGTAAAGGGGGAAACTGAGGCACAGCTGTTTTGAAGGGCTTTCCTAGCATCTCTGCTGGTAGCAGAGCCATCAGTAGCCCCCGTATTTTGACCCCCGCTCTACTGCCCCTTTAGCTGTGAGCTAATGTGGTAAGAAGGCCAAAGCATCCTTTGGCGCCGTCTCTGTGGGCAAATACGAAGCCCACAGTAAAAGTTGTTGCCCAAAATGTTTTTGTAGCTGGGTCCTCCAGGAGCAGAGAGAGTTTGTGCTGAAAGAGAGAAGAAAGCTCCTTTTTTCCCCAAAATAAACCCCAAGAAGCCAGTGGGGGTTTGCGAATCGTTGCTTTGGAAAAATGCCACTTCTGCCCTGTCCGTCCCTTTGTGTCAATGCATTTTTATACCATAGCGTTTTCCGTGATTTTTTTTTAAAGAAAACCAAAACAGAACACCAGTTGAAGCTCTACAAACGAGGCCGTTCTGCAGCCCCTATTTATTGCAATCGCGGGACAAAGCGACAGAAATGTGAAATGCTTTCATCGCTTTTTTTTTTCCCCCCCCCGCGCACAAAGAACCAGTTTGCTTCCCTGCTTGGCTGACCATGTTCTTCATTGTATGTATGTGAAAAGGGCACTTTTATTGTAACTGAATCCTTTTTATATTAAAAATGATAGAAGTACGTCTATTCTGGCTGAGCAAGTCTTGTGACGCCGGCGGCTGTGCAGAACGGTCGGAGATGTGGTCATCCGTCTCCCGAGACGCTGTACGGCCCTCCCTGAAGGCTGGGGAACGGAGCGGGTCTGGTCTGCCCTTCCTTACAGTAGAAAAGTTTGAGGACCAGCCTCTCAGCATCGTTCCAGCTCAGCAGTCTTCACCTGTTCAGCCTCCAGGCCCTCCTGTGAATTTTGTACACCCGGTTGAGAATCCCTGAGCTACAGTCTAAATCCAGAAAAGGTTCAGAGCGGGCTCTTGAGCCTAAAAAGATTGAGAATTGCTGATCCAGCTGATCGCTCCTGGTCTGCACCTGAGGGAGCCAGGGCAGCCTCTACTGCCAAAGCTGCTCCTGTGGGGTCTCGGACACTGGCAACCCCCACTACAGCCCCACCTGCCAGTCCCGGGAGCACAGGAGGAGTAAAGTGCATAAGCTGAGCTGCGAAATGTGGCTCCATGCACATGCCCAGCAACCGGCAGCAAGAGGGCATTGCTGGGCGAGTGAGGGTAGCCGGGGATGCAGGGAGGGGAGCAGCAGTGGCTGCCTGCAGAGGAGCAGGCAGGCACTGCCGGGGCACGAGCAGGGCGCTGGATGCGGGAAGGAGAGGCTTCACCCCTTGTTGAGGGGCCGGGCAGTGCAGCTCCCTCAACGTCTTTCGTGGCGCCCCGGCTGAGAAGCCTTCTTCTAGCTAAGCAACTTTGCAGCACAGATATCTGCTATGCGTTAGGTCACGCAAGCTCAGGGCAGTGTAGAAGACGACAGCAGGTAAGGAGCCTCTTGGCGCAGTCATTGTTGGAAAGCACTGATTCACCCCAAACTTTTCAAGAAAACGTGCCTGGACCAGGGCTTCTCCAAAGCCGTGGTTCTCAGCCTGTTAGGGCTTGGGGCTCTCTTCGTCAATGTGGTGGCACCTCATTGTGCTGCCTCAGTTTACTTCAGCAGCTCTCAACCAGGGTGCTGCTGAAACGTCTGTAGTACCATGATTTCCACGGCTCCATGGAAGGAAGCGCAGCTGGGAGCCAAGACCACAGGTATATTTGCAGCATGGGGGACTAGCTTGGGAAGCTGTCACTCGGGGGGTTGTGGGGGTCATCAGAGTGGCCTTGCAATGGCCAAGTAATAGGATGATCCTTGCCTGCAGAGAGCAGGGAATAGCCCATAGAAATACACAAGCCACTGTGCCTGTACCCACCATCGATGAAACTACGCCTCGACTATGCATCCAGCTGTGGCATCCACCCTTCACGGCTGGGGTGGGAATTGGAAGAGAGCCGCAGAAATGATGTTGGCAGCTGGAAGGCAAGCACAGCAAGGCTAAGAAAAGCTTTGTCTCGTGCAAAAGAGACCACTGAGAGGTGACTTGCATGGAAAAGCTAGAGACCAGTGGGATCTTTTCAACCCTGCTGACTGATCCAGTGGCTGGACGTTGAGGTTGGACACATGCCGCCTTGAAATAAGACTCCATTTCTCTAGCAGTGCAGTTACTTGAACATTGCAGTGGCTTATGGAGGGAGATGGTGGACTTAACACTGCTTGGAGTACATGAGATGGGACCTCGGGCATGAGAGCGGCTTGGAGGCATCTGGGGTTTGCACAGAGCACCCGCAGCCAAGTCGGGGCACTTGCAGCTCTGCAAGAAGGCCCCTGCTTCAGTAGGTGACCTGCCAGGAGCAGGAGGTGGGGTGAGAGAGGATCGCTACCCACCCCCCATGTGCCAGCTGCAATTGCCTGGGCATGCTTGAGCTTTGCCTTCGCTGAAGCATCAAACTGGCTGCATCTAGGAATGGGACGTCGGCCTGAGCTCGGGGTAGGATAACCGCGCCTTGCCCTTAGGCGCTTGCCTGGTGTGTCTTGCTCCTGTGCTCTGTCGAGCTGATCACCAGCGGCCTGGGGGGGGGGGGGTTGCCACCTCCTGCAGCTGAGTTTAGCCCCTGACATTGCATGGGCTAGCGCTGCTGGCTGCTGGCATGACATCTCGGGCTTAGCTCCTGTGTGCTTCTGGCAAGATGCAGCTTTATCCCCTGAGGACTGAAATGCTTTAATAAAGTTCAACTGAGCTCGGTATGGAGGTCCCGGGGGAAGCTTAATCCTCCATGAGATCACGTAGTCCGACTTCCCATCTCCCGTAGCCCCTCTGAGCGCTGCAGCCCTGGGCCGTGGAGGAGACAGGGCTGCAGGCAGGCAGCCCTACAGCTCTTTCCAAAGCCAGAGATGTGCCCACGGAGCCGGGTCTTCAGCAGCAGTGATCGTTGGAGCCGGCTGAGCAGGAAAGGGCGGCTGGGCGAGCTGAAGATTGACCCTGTCCCTGCTCTGAGCACTTGTACCTTTGGGAAAATCCCCCCCAATTTTGCCTTCCCAATAAGCCGTGTGTCTTACGTGGGGGTGTGCAGCTGGCCCAGGAATACAGTACTTTAAAAAGACTCCCTCGCATTTCATCTCATCACGGAAGCGGTTCACAATGTCGAAATGCTGGGTTTTTTTCCCCTTTGAGCCAGGATTTTTGTTTTTCCAGCTGGCCCCCTTTGAGCGGCTGGGGCTCCCACGTGCTTCCAGCGTGACCCCTTGAGAGACAGCTTTTCCTGTAAGCAGTGCCTTTGCTTTCCTCCCCAAGCGTGCCGGGATGTGGGTCGAGGTGCCCTCCCAAGGGAGAGCGCTGCATTTCCCCCGCGCTGGGGGGCTCTGGCATGGGGAGTGGGAGCCCAGGCAAAATAAGGAAGGGGCAATGCGGGAACGGGACAGGATTTCCTACATTTTGTCAGGGGAGAGATGTCCCGGCGTAGCTGTGAAGTGGTTTCCCCCTCCCAAGCCTGTGTCCCAGCACGGCGCAGGTCGTACGCCCCCATCCCTGCGCCGTCGAGCTGCGATGGCGTCCCAGGCGTTATGCCAGATTATCCATCTGCGAGATGCAGATTTGATGCCTTTGTGAACTCTTCGCAAGGGGGGCTGGAAGGGACCTCCAGAGGTCAGCCGGTCCGACCCCGGGCCTGAGGCCAGGTCACCCCCATCCAAACTGTCCTAGACGCAACCATCGTCTAACCCAAAGGTTCCCAGGCTTTTTCTTATTACATCCCCCCCCTTCCCAATTTACCCCCTACCAGCATGCATGTGATATTTTAACCCCTTAAATGCCAATTATTAAAATGAAAATTAAATCTGCCATTACACAATTTCTCCTGCGTCTCCTCCCCACCCTCCCCCTACATGTCTTGCGTGCCCTTGGGGTACCTGTGCCACAGTTTGGGACCCCCTGGTCTAACTTATTACTACAAGTACACAACTTCAAGGCGCTACACCCTGCCGCAGGTAAAGCAGGGAGATGCTGCCTACGAAGGTTGTATTAAAATATGCTCAAGCGATCCAAGCCCCCCACAACGAGGGAAGGCAAACCCCCTCTCCCATGTCTGCACCAATCTGACTGTGGGGTAAAATTTTCTTGCAGCAGCATTTGGCCCTGAGCGGGGGGGGGGGGGGGGGGGGGCACGACCCTCTAGCCAGGACCCTCCCGCTTTGAGTCCCAGCAGGAGCACTGGTACAGCCCAGCCCCATTGCTAGCCAGGGCGGCAGCCCACACCCAGTGCCTCTGAGGATGGCAAAAATCCCTTGGGACCCCTGTAACGACAGAAGTGGGGGGAAAAATCCTTCCCGCAGCGACCGGCAAAGGCCTGGGGACTACCAAAGGCGAAGGCAGTGCTAAAGAAACCAGCTTGTGGGCCATGCGTTTTGTAGGAGGCTCTGGCTTGGCCTTCAGCCTTTGCTATAAGGCCAAAAAAAGTCCATGGACACCTGCCATTGCACACATCCTCCCAGGACCCCGCTGCCAGGCTGGTTGAGCGTTAGCCCTGTTTGAAGCCTTGGGGACAGCTGGACAGTGGGTTGAGCTGGCTGGGGCGCCCCAGCAGGATCCCCTCCTCGGGCTAGTCTCAGCAGGAGGATGCCTCATGTCTGCCCCTGCCGCTCCCAAACTCCCTGCAAAGCGCCCCCTCCCTCGTTGCACCCCGAGCCTGGCCCCGGAGCAAGGGCACGGTGCCTCCGGCTGCTAACGATTTCAGCAGAAAGTCGGACTTTCTGGCATCTCGGCTTGTTTGGATCCGCTGGGAACCTCCTCTGGAAACAAGGGGGGCCGATGACCCTTTGCTGCACGTCCAGGCTTTCGCTGCCGGCCAAGAATGAATGATTTCCAACTGCATAAATACCCGCTTTTAGCAAACCCTGGGCTCAGAGCAAGAGATAAGACGCAAGGGCCAAGCCCGGGCCCATTGCACCAGCCCGCAGCTTGGCCCGATAAGCCCTGCCAAAAAAAAACCCGTCCGGCCTCGTTTATTTTCCCTGCTGTTTTTTTTTTTTTTTTGGCCTCGCTGATAAAGCAGCCCAGCCTTTTCCCCGTGGGAGGACCGTCCGGGACGTGGCCGTGCGTGCAGCTGCGGAGCGGGGCAGCGATGGTGCTCTTCGTGGCGGCGGTGCTGGCCTGCCTGGGGGCGTGCGCCGCAGCCGTGCCCACCTCGCCGACCCCCCGAGACGTGGCTCGCTCTGCCGTGGAGCTGTACAACCAGGAGACGGCAACGAACGCCGTGTTCAGGCTGCTCAAGCTCAAAAACGTCCACAAAACGGTAGGAGACGGTCGTCGCTCTGGTTTCTCCCCCTGCCCTGCAGCCGTGGGGCTGCCCGGGGGGCAGAGAGGCTGGGGTGGGCCCGTGGTGAGCAGAGGGGCGGTGGGAAAGCAATGAACCCTCCTGGCCGAGCTCTGAGGAAGCCCCCAGGGGTCGGCCTGGTCTGGGGCCAGGACACGAGCCCCCGGGAAACCCAAAGGAGCGTCTCCAGGGGTTTGCACGGATCTAGCCGCCGAGACCGCCCCGAGCTCTTCCCCTGCCCCGCTGCAGCGCAGAGGATCAGGGAGCCACGGAGAGCGGCGGAGGGGGGTCCGCTTCGGAGAGCCGCAAGGCCGCGGGGCTTGGCCGGGCTCCAGACCAAACACGCGGTGTTTAGAGAGGAGGGGGGTGCTGGGGCGTGCCCCGGCGCACGTGGGAGCATCACGAGGGTGCTGGGGGGAGGCGGTGGCATCGACGCCGTGACGCGGATACCGTGCGCTCTCCCACCCCTCGTCCGACAAGTGCGCGAAGCCGAGCAGCGTGGCTTGTGTTTCCGAACGAGTGAGCAGAGCGGGGGCTGCCCCTGCTTTAGCAAGCGGATGGTGCCCTCGTGACGGGCGCAAGCGGAGGCCCCAAAAACTGGCTGGCTTCCCGCATGCATTTGCTTGGAGGCTGGGCCTGTCTTGGCCCACGTCCCCTTTGGGCTGTCGGCTCGTACCAAGGGGTGCTACAGCACCAGGGTTGGGGCACGGCTACGGGTGCCTGTCTGCACGCGTCCGAGACCACAGACGCAGGCTGGGGCACTGCTGGCGGTGTGACCACGGCAGCTCGGAGCCCAGAGGGGTCTGAGAGCAGGGTGGGCCAGGCATCGCCGGTCCCGCCCTGGGTACCAGGTCCCTGCCCTGCCCTCCTTCCTGGGATGCTGCTCACGCTCAGCTCACTTGTGTCCCGCCCAGGTCCACCGCCTCCTCCCACGTGAAGTTCTGGTCTTTGCCAGCGAGACCCGATCCCTTTCCCCTCCTCAGTCTCTGCCATGACCTCAGAGCTGTGGGAAGGCAGGGACGGCACTACCGTGCGGGTCCCTACACTACCGTAGGAGCCTAGCCTCCCCGTGCCGGCTGCAAGCAAGCGAAGGGAGGATGCAGGCGTGGGTAGCTGGCTCGCTCTCAGCTTGCTTTCCTCAGAAAGGTGCCGCTTGCTCGCCGGAGGCTGAGCCCCTTGTCTTTGCACCCGTAGAAATTTGAATGGGGCGTGCACTTCAGCATCAACTTCACCGTCAAGGAGACAACCTGCCGGAAGAGCATGGGCAGCTACCGCATTGAGAACTGCCAATACTGGCACAGCGGGGTAAGTGTACACGTGGCAATGAGTGCTGCAGGCTGATGCATGGAAAAGCTTTTCCCTTCGTCCAGTGCCCCCCTGGCTTGGGAGTCTGTGGCGGGGAGGACAAAGCCTGTGTGCAGCTGGCGTGCTTCGAGCCATGTCTTGCATTGCTTTACCCTCCTACGAGTCTGGGGGCTCTCGCACGGCTGGTCTAGACCCGCTGCGGGGAGGCGGGGGAGACTCGTGCCCCTCGACCGACCACCCCTGCAAAACCTGGTCGGATGCGATGCCTGGAGCCAGCTAACACCGGCAACACTTGAGATGGGCAAATGGAGACCGGAGGGGCACTGGAGCCCCCCGGGAGTCTTTGCCCTGACAGCGATAGCAGCCAAAAATGTGCGGCAGTTGCAACCAGGGACTTTGAGTCCCTGGGGCAGGTGAGACTGACACCAGGCACGTGCACGGTGCCCACAGACCGGAGCACGGGGGGCTGCTCGGGCACAAAGCCTGTTATCCGGGCCTCCGATGGGTGAGCTCGGGCAGAGCAATCTAGGAAGGATCGCTGGGTTTACCGACACAAGTTCGATCCCCGCTGTTTGCAAACTCTTTGGCAAGAGCTGGAGCATGTGACCAGCGGCCCCAGGGCAGCACGGGGCGAGGAGCGCTGGGCAGCTCCGCAGAACTTTGCTCCGAATTTCGGGGGGAGTAATGCCAGGTGACAGGACAAGGAGCAATGGGCTCAGGCTGCAGAAAGGGAAGTTGAGGCTGGATATTAAGAAAAACTTTCTCACTAGGAGGGTGGTGAAGCACTGGAGCAGGTCACCCAGAGAGGTGGGGGAGTCGCCATCCTTGGAGGTTTTGAAGACAAAGCCTTGTCTGGGATGATGTAGTTGGGGCTGGTCCTGCTTGGAGCAGGGGGCTGCACTAGATGTGACCTCCTGAGCTCCCTTCCCGCCCTCGTTGTCTGTGAGTCTATGAGCTGTGTCCAGTTTTGGACACCACGCTTCAAGAGAGATACCAACAAATTGGAAAGGGTCCTGCAACGAGCAATAAAGATGATTCGAGCTCTGGGGAACGTGGCCTGTGATGGAGAACAGGCCAGCCAGCGCCATCACTGGTCAGCCCATTTGCTCCCCTCCTCGCCTGCCGCAGTAGCAGGAGGGGAGCAGTTTCCAGCCCTGTGCAGCCTTGCCCTGTGCGCTGAGACTTGTCTGCAACCAGGTGCAGAGGATGCAGGAGCTGGGCTGAAAGCCCTGGAGACCGCAGAGAGGGCCCTGCCCTGGTCTGGCACTGACAGCCCGCACGGGTGAGACAATCCCAGGCCAGGGGCCGTGCGTGGAGGGCATCAGGGATGCTTTATTTGCTCTTTAGCCTTACAGCATCACAGGAAAGTCAGGCTTTTCCTGTGAGCAGTGTATGCTGATCGGTGTCCCAGTGAGGCCTATCGCTGCTAAGAACCAGCCACTTCGTGCTTCAAGATACCCGCTCCCTCTCGAGCAGGCTGATGCCGGTCGCTCTCATTGAGTAACAAGGAGCTCCCCCACTGGGACAAGGCAGGTTGACTTCCCAGGAGATTATTGAACCCAGCAAAATTAGTAGGAGAGAGATTTAAAACTAACAAGAGAGATTAGGCTTTTTTGTTCAGTGCATCGTTAACTCGTGGAACTCATTGCCACAGGATGGGGGAGAGGCAGAGAGCGCAGCCAGATTCGGCACGGGACCGGATCAATTCATGGAGGATCGATGTAGTCGTGACTGTTGAACAGAGGAGTTGGAGATGTTCCCTCTGCCATCTCTCAACCAATAATGGTGGATCCAGGAAGTGTATCAAGTAGGGGATAGATGACTCTAGAGGTATCTGGTTCAATGGCCTCCTACAAAAGGTGCCGGCGGTGGCACGGCTCTTTCAACAGAGACAGACGCGACTTTCGTTATGGACGATGGACAACGGCCGCGCAGGGCGATTCGTGTCCGGAGTAGCCCAGGGCTGTGTAGCTTTAGGGAGTTAAGTTGAATTTAGCGGGGGTCGCGCTGCATGACTTAAAGGCGAGGCTAATTTCGCTGTAATCCTTGGGCTCGATTAGATGCCGTGAGCCGGGCGAGCCTGGAGTCGTGCTGAAGGCTGGGCAGGGTGCTCAGAGGCAGGCTGTAGCCTACCAAAGTCAGTAATTGGACGCCAAACATTTGGCAGGTGTGCCACGACGTCGCCCTGTGCCCTCCCCAGATGCCACTCCGATCCCTTTCCCTTACCTGATCTGCTGCTCATTTTCTGCACCCTGCCCACGCTGCTGCTCTGCCGTCTGCTCCTGCGTCTGCCGCATGCTCCCCGGTGTACGAGGTGCCGCCTCGCCCTGCCTTCCGCCTTCGTCTCTCGCTGTGTCTGCAGAGCTGCAGACGCAGCCGGTCCCGGCGCTCAGATGCAGCCTCAAGCACAGCTTTAATCCATTTTCTTTAACACTAAGCATTCGTTTTCCCGGAGCGCTGATATCCCTGGAGGTTTGGTCGGATCCTTCCCCAGCACTTGGCCATCGAAAGGCCCTAACCCGTGTCCTTCCCCTCCTTTCCCCAGCAAGTCAGACAGTGCTCGGCCCAGGTCTCTGTTCTGGACTTCGTGCAAGAGGCCCCTTTGACGTCCGTGACTTGCGTCCCGCAGCAGGTCAGTCACTGGGCCCGGGCGGGGGCCATGCAGCTGCCCCTGTGGGGAGGAGGCTGGTTTGGCTCCTGCCATCCTGGCCACGATGCTCAGGCAGGTCTCGGGGTGTCAGAGACGTGTCCCTGTATTGTGGTCTCGGCTGCTGTGTGGACACGAGCCCCCCAGCTCCTGCATCATCCATGGGCTTTCCCATCGGTCCACCCCTGGCTCCCTCCAGCCTTGTCCCCTGGCTTTGCCTTGCTGGAGAGGGTGGGATCAAGGCTGGGCTGGGCGGGGGGTGCATCTGTCTCCGAGATGATCGGGGTGCTGTGGTCCAGAGCATATTCAGGAAGGAGCCTGGAAGGGGGGTAGCTCCTCTGGGGGGCCCTTTGCTGTTGGCTCACGCCCCGGGGGCAGTAGCGGTATGGCCCGGGCGAGAAGAGAAGCCGGACTTTGCCGGGGTTGTGGGACGTATTTATATTTCTGACCGTTTCCCTTCCAGCGAGTAAAGCCCAAGGCCCAGGCACCCCGTGAGGTGACCGTCCGCCTCCCGGGCTCCCTGTCCCTCGCTGCCCAGGTGGTACCGGAGCAGGACTGATGCGCCCGAGCCCCAAGAGCCTGCCCCACGCCAGACACCTTTGCAGAGGCTGCCTTGGCGCTTGTCCAGACGGGTGGCCGCATCGCACGGGAGTGTCTCATTGCCGCCGGCTGGACTCGTGTCTGGCTTTTGCTTTGCTTTGGGCAGCAGGAAGCAGCTGCTCACCCGCTCGCACCACCCTTGCCCCCCTCCCCACGTGGGACAGCCACGGCCCCCCAGTGCCACCCGTCCCCTGCCCTGAGACTGGTCCCATCTCAGGCACCTGCTTTTGCTTGGGGTCTAAGCCAAGTTTTCCCCTTGCCACTAGTGATCCCAGCCTCTTCGGGCTGATGGGCCTGCCCCAGGGGTCCAGGCTGCAGGCCCCCAATCGCCCACCCCTGATGGGAATCATGGCCTGAGTCGAACCCAGCAGCACCCAGGATGGACGGGAAGAGAGAGACCCTGCTTTTAGGCCCCCAGCAGAGATTCCCCCTGCTCCCACCTCCAATGCCTTGTTGCAAGTCGCGGGGAAATCGGTGCTTTTCCTCCAGCCCCAGCACCTGGAGTCATGCGATGGCGGAAGAAAGACGAGCCTCCCTTGCAAACAGCGCGCCGCAGCAAGTGTCCGGCCCCGAGGGAGACAGAGGACAGCTTGACACAGTGAACCCCACCCTAACCCTAACCCATGCCCTCACAAGCCCCCTGGGCATCTCCTTATGCCCAGGTGGGCTTCACCCCCTGCACTGAGCAGCTGGGCGGCCAGATGCCTGCGGGACCAGCACCCGCTCCTGGGCCAGTTTAGATTGACTCAAGTTGCACTTGAGTTGCAGCAAAGGAAGTGGAGGTTGGATATTAGGAAGAGGGGAGTGAAGCACTGCAACAGGTCACCCAGGGAGGTGGGGGACCATCCTCGGAGGTGTTTAAGACCTGGCTAGAAAAAGCCCTGGCTGGGATGATGTAGCTGGGGCTGGTCCTGCTTGGAGCAGGGGTTTGGAGTAGATGTGACCTCCTGAGGTCCCTTCCAGCCCTCGTTTTCGATGACCCCGATGTGAGGCTGTGCTCGTGTCCCCAAAGAGACCCCAAAAGTGCACATTTGTCTCAAATTGGTCCCAGGTCTTTACAAGCTTTGCAGGAAACGCTGATCCCTGCACCTTGGCTATCACAGGGGTTGCTCACTACTGATTCGTGGGCTGCAGGGAGGCTGGGGCTGGGATACAAAGCCAGTTGGATGAGAAGCAAGGGATCCTGCAGAGTCCTGGGTGCGGATTCCCCCAGATTTACCACGTTTCTCCCCCCTGCTTCTGTGCAGCTCTTGTGTAAAACCCCGCGTCTCGATCAGCGCCGGGGAGGGACTGCACTCTGTACTGTCCCGTTCATTCCTCCGTAGCGGGCAGTCAGTCATTTCGACTTGTGCAGATTTGAGCCCACTTCTGTCTTGCCTGGCTCAGCGCCTACATGCCGCAAGCTTCGCACGAATAAAGACGTTCACTACTTCTTACGTGACATCGATTCCTCTGCTGCTCCGTGCGCTCGCACGCCGGGGCCTGCCGTCTCACACTGATGGGCCTTGTCCGTGTCTGGGTTAGGGCGTGAGTTGCTCCCCGTGGATGGCCGTGTCCCCTTTTTCTGGCCGGCAGGTCCGTGCCATGGCTGATAAATGGGATGGGACAATTTTTGTTCTCAGCTGAGTGGGTCTTCTCTCTCCCCGCCTGGCCCCGCGGGGTAGCCACAAGCCAGCGCAGGGAGGTAAAGAAGAGATCAACACCGATTTAACCACCATTCACTGGCAAAAGTCCCACAAGCCCTGCACCTGGGCCGTGCAGGGGCCAGGCTGGAGTCTCCTGGCCCCATGTCCCTGCAGCACGGGGGATGGATGTGCTGACAGGTCTCGTGCCCCTGCCTCCCGCTCAGGCCCCTGGCGCTGTTCACGCGCGTCCGGCCCAGGACAGGATCTGTCATCCCTGCACCAGGAGGTTCGTTAGCCATCTCTTTCGTTCTCCTTGAGCCTGTGGCACAGCTTCCTGGTGCAAAGAGAAGACAGACAGACAACCAGACGACCAGGAGGTGTCCTGGGAGAGGGTTAGGGTATTTTTTCACCAGATCTCTCGCCCCACTGTTGCCTCCCAGCAGCAAGGAGAAGAGACCCCTGCACTGCGGCTGGCTCTGGGGTCCTCCATCTGCTGCGTGTTTGGAGCTGATGGGCCAGGGAGAGTCCCTGTCTGGTTCCCCGAGTGGGTGAGGGTCCCAGGGGGTCCCTGTGGGATGCTTAGTGTCCTTCCCACCTCAGTGCTGGTGCTTCACTGTGGACATGTGGCTCATTTGCAGGCCTCTGAGTGAAGCCACCTCTCCAGGAGGGGCACGCAAGCCTTATATAATGGCTTATAAAACCTTACCATGCTCAGTGGTCCCACTTCCTCCTGCCTCCAGTGAGCTGGGAAAATGCCCCTGTAGCTCATCACAGATGGACTTGTTTTCCCTCCTATAGACAACTGAGGCCTGGAGCCATGAAGTGACTTGCCCAAGGTCACATGGGGAGTTTGTGGCAGAGGCAGGAGCTGAACCCCGGTCCCCAAGGCCCCATCCAGTGCTTTGTCCACATCGTGATGTTGCTTCTCCTCCTCGCCCTCAAGAGCCCAGCTGGCGAG